GAGAAGAAAGTGTATCCGCTTGATGTTGGGTGGTATATTCTGTATATATCAATTAAGTCTAAATTATTAATTTTATTATTGAGCTCTATGGTTTCTTTATTCAACTTTTGTTTGGAAGATCTGTCCAGTGGTGAGAGAGGTGTGTTAAAATCTCCCATGATTATTGTGTTGTGGTCTATTTGACTCTTGAACTTGAGAAGAGTTTGTTTGATGAACGTAGCTGCACCATTGTTTGGGGCATATATATTAATGATCGTCAAGTCTTGTTGGTGTATGGTTCCCTTGAGCAGTATGTAGTGTCCTTGTTTATCCCTTTTGATTAACTTTGGCTTGAAGTCTATTTTATTTGATACAAGTATGGACACCCCTGCTTGCTTTCGGGGTCCATATGAGTGATATGATTTTTCCCAACCTTTCACCTTCAGTCTTTGTATGTCTTTTCCTATCAGATGAGTCTCCTGTAGGCAGCATATTGTTGGATCTTTTTTAAAATCCATTCTACTAGCCTATGTCTTTTGATTGGTGCATTTAAGCCATTAACATTTAGGGTTACTGTTGAAATATGGTTTGTATTTCCAGGCATATTTGATTATGTATGTTACTTAACATGATTTGTTTTCCTCTATGCTTAGTTTTTCCTTTACTGTACTACCTCCCGCTGTTGGTTTTCATTGTTATTTTTCATTTCCTCTTGCTATAATGTTTTGCCAAGGATGTTTTGAAGAGCTAGTTTTCTAGCTGCAAATTCTTTTAACTTTTGTTTATCGTGGAAAATTTTTATTTCATCTTCATTACTGAAGCTTAATTTCGCTGGATGCATGATTCTTGGTTGGAACCCTTTTTCTTTCAGCGTTTGAAATATGTTGTTCCAGGATCTTCTAGCTTTCAGAGTCTGTGTTGAAAGATCAACAGTTATCCTGATTGGTTTACCCCTAAACGTAATCTGCTTCCTCTCTCTTGTGGCTTTTAAAATTCTCTCCTTATTCTGTATGTTGGGCATCTTCATTATTATGTTTCTTGGTGTGGATCTCTTATGATTTTGTACATTCGGTGTCCTGTAGGCTTCTAGTATTTGGATTTCTTTTTCATTCTTTAAGTCTGGGAAGTTTTCTAGTATTATTTCATTGAATAGATTGCTCATTCCCTTGGTTTGGACCTCTATACCCTGTTGTATCCCAATAACTCTTAGGTTTGGTTTCTTTATGTTATCCCATAATTCTTGGATGTTCTGTTCATGATTTCTTAACATTCTCGCTGAGCTGTCTATGTTCTTTTCAAGTTGAAATACTTTGTCTTCGTTGTCTGAAGTTCTATCTTCTAAGTGTTCTACTCTGCTGGTTATACTCTCATTTGATTTTTTAATTTGGTTTATTGTTTCCTGCATTTCCAGGATTTCTGTTTGTTTGTTTTTTATATCCTCTATCTCCCTATAGAGTTGATCTTTTGCTTCTTGGATTTGTTTATGTAATTCATTGTCAAAGTGATTTTTCATTGTCTGAATTTGCTGTATAATGTCTTCCTTGAGACTCCAGATCATCTGAAGCATGTATATCCTGAACTCTTCTGACATTCCATCAGCTTCAGATATTACCTCATCTAATGTTGAATTGACCTGTATTGTTTGTGGTCCTTTCTTTCCTTGTCTTTTCATACTGATCATGATTCTTTCTAGCTTTGTGAAACTGTTGTGTTAATGTTTTTCCCCTTATATATTTGTATTGTTCTTGTATAGCTCCAAAATCCCTCTTTTGAGGAGAAAGACAATGTTAACAGTTCCCAATATCAACAGTACATTATCTAAGCACAAGTTTTCATTATTAATACATTTATAGTTAGATTCTAAGTCTATAGATATTGGTTTTAATTATTACTTAAGAATATATTCATTAGTTTCATAAAAGGCATACCATATCTGGTGGCATATAGAAAACTTAATTTCAGACGAAGGATGTTATACTTAGAGGGAAAGGAGTGAGGGTATGAGGTTAAACTAACTTAGCACCTTTGGAGAACTCTAACCAGTAGACTGGTTATTTATGGAAGAATGTATAGACTCAACCTCCTATCTGTATTTAGATAGTTACCCTATGTATAGATAGCAAAAGCTAGGAGATTGAAAGTGGGATAGAGAGAATACGAATGAAAAAAAGAAAAAAAATAACAAGGAAGAAAAGAGAAATAAGAGAAGGAAAAGGAAAGTAAGATAGAAATAAAGAAAAAAATGGGGGAAAGTGGGGTATATGCAATTCCTCTATATTATATTACTTGGTAATTCGGTTGTTCATGCACAGTTCTTGGTTTCACATATGTTGAAGTTGTGGAAGAGAGAGAAGAAAAGAGTGAAAGAAAGAGAAAGAAAAAAGGCTCTTAGAACACTGTTTTCCTTGCTTCCAGTAGGTGGTGTTGTCTATTCCTAGCTTGAGCCTCTGTATTCAGGGTGGTGGGTATAGCCAGTTTGAAAGGAAATGGGCTTCCACCTGTATTTTCCCTACTCTATCTCTGAGGTAGAATCCAGGTGCCTGTACAGTTATTGTTTTGCGTTGATAGCTACAACCCCCAAAAGCTTGTGGGAAATATTTTGAGTTATCGCAGCTAAGGGTGGGGGAGTTGGAAACCGGGTATCTGGATCAGCCGCAGAACCATGCTGGGAGCCACACCCCCTTTGATGGGTTTTAAGGGTTGATGGGATTCCTCCAGACTAGCACACGGGGCGGGGCCGGACTTCCTCCTCCGGTCTGGCTTGGCACCGGGCGTCTTCCTCCTCCTGTCTGGCTTGGCGTGCACCGGGCGTCTTCCTCCTTGATGTTTTCTCAGTGGTACTCACTACCGTTGACTGTTTAACTCCTCAGAGGACTCTTTTCTACTATTGTTCCTGACACACTTCAGGCTTATCCTTTGCTTTTATGAAAGCCCCTGTAGGTTCCCTGTGCTCTTTGTTTTTTGTCCATCCTTTAAGAGTTTAATATTTCTTATGTTTATATTCTTTTGGATTCTGTCATGGTCTTTGTACACTTACTAAAAAGTTGAACTATCAATTGAGTTGTGATCTCTCTGGAAGCCAAAGCAAGGAAAAAACATATTAATCGTATTAACTTTTAGCTGATCATTTACTCTGTTATGCATTTTTATGAGGACTTTACATGTGTTACTTGATATAATCTTTGAGAGAAACCCTGTGAGGCAAACACTAAAACAGGTAAACTAACCTGCCCAAAGTCATCCAGGTAATTCAATTCTAAACATTTGAACTGTGGAGCTTGCCTTCCTAGCCATAACACTATACTGTCTTTCAAAATGGGTACATGATTAGTAGAGTTTAGAATTATAGAGTATCCTTTAGAACTAGAGCTTCTTTAGGACTTAAGTCTGAAATGAGTATGTGATGATCCCTTGGGAAGTGGTATAGTATCCTTAGTTGTAATCCTATAATAAATACCATAGTATTTCTTCTATTCTCATAGAGAACTTCAGTGTAGGAGAACATAATACTAAATCGGAGCAAAACACACTACATACAGTTATTTCTAAATTACATCTCTCAAACAGCACCTTGTTAGAAATTTGGAAGCTAAAATTTTAAAGTTATATTTAATAGTTTCAAGAGAGAGAAAGGGGGAAAAAACCTGTCTTATTTACCTTTAAGTCTACAGTATCTAGCCCAGAACCAGTCATATAACAATAATTCAGTTGGTATTTGTGGAGTAAATATGACCACACTTAGCTGGTCAGCTATTAAGAAGGAATGACTTAGGACAGGATGTATTTAACATTCCAGGTTCTGGGGGTGGAGCTGATGATTGAATGCAAGATCTGATGACTTCAAAGGGAGAAAATAGGTAGAAATTGAGTGCCTGTGTCCTGCTTTCCCTCCAAGTTCCCATATTCATTTATTCCTCAAACAACTGCAAAGAGTTATTTTATTCTTTATATATCAGGTACTATGTCAAATGATGGAGATCCACTGGGGAGCATGAGATAGTCCCTGACCTTAAGATGTTTCCATTCTGGTGAGATATAAAGAAAACTAATTTGATGGTACAGTAAGAATGGTTCTTGAAGGAAGAAAATATTCAGATTATATGTAGGTATTCAGGTAGTAGCAACAAATTAGAGGAAGCATAGTACACTCAGAGAAGTTTAAATCTCATATATGAGTTGGAGGATGAAGTGTGACTATGTGGAATGATAAGAAATGAGGCTTGGGCTCGGGATGTGGCTCAAGCAGTAGTGCACTCGCCTGGCATGCGAGCGGCCCAGGTTTGATCCTCAGCACCACATACAAAGATGTTGTGTCTGCCAAATACTAAAAAATAAATATTAAAATTCTCTCTCTCTCTCCTTCTCTCTCACTCTCTCTTAAAAAAAAAAAAAAAAAGAAATGAGGCTTGTAGAAAGCAAGTAAGATTGTCCAGACTTTGTCATGTACTTTAAGGTTTTTACTTCCATCTCTCCTCATATCTCAGTGAATATGTGTTACTAGTATAGTGATAGTACAGGGGATATGAACATACAGATGTATTCCAAGGGCCACACAATTTTTTCCCTATATACCAAAACTTAATTAATCATGATTAATCATGGTTAGATTAATTATGGTTAATTTCTTCATTAAAAATTTTTATTCTAGATATTTATAGTCATGGTTCTTCATCTCGAAATTGTATACTCCTAGAGAGCAAGGATTTTGTCTTATTCATTTCTTTATCACTGACATACAATGGTGACTCAATAAATGTTGAAAAGTGTCATTTGACATTAGTATAGTAACACTAGTATAGTAATTGTCGTATTTGTTATTTGGAAAACAATTTAGATTTAAACAAATGAACTTACAAACAACTTTGTGAATTTAATATTACCTTTGAGTGGGGAAAAATTACTAAATAGTGTAGAAAATTTCAGGATTTTTTAGTTTATTATGAGGATATTCACTGCTTAACAGAAGGATTCAATACAAAATTTGTCAACTGTGTTTAGCTGGGAATATTTCTTTCATTTAGACATATGAAGAAGAGCGAAGAAATTACTCAGAACTTCAAATTCGATGTCAACGTTTGGCCTTAGAATTAGCAGACACGAAGCAATTAATTCAGCAAGGTGACTACCGTCAAGAGAATTATGATAAAGTCAAGAGGTAAGTAATTAAGATGGCTCCAATAGTTGTGCTCATTTTTGACACACATCACAGACTTGAATTCTCACCATCAACATTGTTAATTGTATTTTGTTTTATAAGTTGCTACTGTCTTTTAAAATGAAAAAGAAGATAGGAGCCCAATAAAATCCCACATGTATAAATATTTTTAAAATGTTATTTAATAATCATTTTTATGTAATAAAATTAAATTCTTCAGTTTTTTCTCACCTACCTACCCAGAAGGGTGTTGAGCTGTTCTTTCTTAATAAACGGCACTTTTTCATAAAATAGTACTTTCTGGAGGACAAAACTAAGAGTGTATAAAGAAGTTGTGAATATTTAAGTAAATCACAAAAGGTTTGCAGAAGATGAATCTTAAAAGCTTTGTGTTTTCAATTAAATTGGCTATAATTAGCACAGTCAATTAAAGTTATTTAAATTTTAATGTACTGATATAAAACAAAGTCTAGAACATTGATCTCTTATCTATCAAGATAATTTTCTTACATCTGACAGGTTTTTTAACATAGGGAAACTTAAGTCTTAAAGGAATTATGGTTTTTTGTATCTGTTTTTAAAGTTTTAAATGACTACTTTGTAACTGGTTAAACAAACAACTGTTGTTTAGGTATCAACATATATTCTTGTTTATATATGTTGTTTAGGTATCAACAATATAGTTGATACCCAGAATATATGTGACTAGGTATATGTATGCACTTGAGAACTATATCTGTCTAAGCCTTGTCTAAGTGTTATGTAAAAGTTTATAAAATGAAAGTTTACGTAAGTTTATAGGCAAGATAACCAATAAGTGCTCTCTTTTATACATTCGTATCTGACATAGAAGGACCACACTGTCATTTAAAGACCTATCTTATATCCCTTTGCTTTGACTAAGTCAATTCTGATTACTAACGCTGTTTCCTAAATGTATAAGAGATTCAAGGCTATCCTTCAATTTTTGTTAACTCTTGTATACTTGTGATTATTGTTACTGTAAACTCTGGATTCTAACTTGTACTTTAGAAGTTAAACTGTTAAATGTCAAGCTTAGGAGAGCATTTTGCCAAGTTAGTGTTCTTCAAACTGAAATTATCTGTAGCAAAAGTCTCAAATTTGTATATAAATAACAAATTTGGTTGGTATTTATTTATGTCATTTGGTGTCTTATAGCTGGATAAAGTAACCTGTTGTCAATAAAAAAATAATAATAATACTTTCTGAAAACATGTTTCCCAAATATGTTGCTACTAAGTAACAATAGCAAATATCTTCCTTTAACTGGAATATCCTTTTGCACTCTTTATCTATATATTTCTAGGTAAATCTCTTTTCATTCTGAGTCTGTTTTGTCACCTATGCGGCGGTGCTAATATATGTAATTGCATTATATAAACAAAATCAATAAAGGCATACTCGTGAAAGTTTTAAAATATATATACCATGTACATGCAGATGGAGTGACTTTTTCCTAATTGTTCACTGTTATATCTCCTGGCACCTAAAATAATTTTTTTGATTTATTTATTTATTTATGTAGTGCTGAGGGTTGTACGCAGTGCCTCACACTGCAAGGCAAGCGCTCTACCACAAACTACAGCCCCAGCCCTTCTTTCTTTTTTTAATAGATATTTTTTAGTTGTAAATAAGGACATGATACCTTATTTTATTTACTTATTTTTACATGGTGCTGAGGATTGAACCAGTGCCTCAGATTACTAGGCAAGCACTCTACCATTGAGCTACAACATCAGCCCCTAAAATTAATTCTAGAATTATAATAGTCACTTAATATTTTGTTAAATGAATAAACGAATGCTTTAAACTGTATTATTTAAATTATAAATTATTTAACATAAGTGACTTTGCAAAAATTTAGCTCATTAATATTGGCATTTTTAGATCCACTGTGACAAACATATGATATCTATTATTATTATTATTATTATTATTATTATTAGTCTTGCTAATATGGTAACTTTTAGAACTTGAAATCTGTAAGAACTACACTTGGTGACCTTCTGAATAAAGCTGGATTAAAAAAAGAATCATATTTTATTTTTTACAATTTTTTTTAATTGGTGTATCATGCTATCAATAATATCAAGAGATACGTTTTTAAAAATGAAGTAGATTGTGATGGTCAGATAATATTTTAAGTTGGTAATTTGATGCCCTGCTTCCACTATGAATCTGTAGCAATGATAGATAAAATATAAAAAGACAAAACTAACAAGTGTAGTCATCAGAATATTCCAGAGGGGCCATGAATGAAGGATAAATGAAACAAGATGAGTCATGAGTTGATCCTTATTGAAGCTGAATGATGGGAATATGGGTGTTTATTATATCATATCTATTTTTATGTATGTTTTTCATTTTCTATAATAAAAACCTAGGAAAGAAAAATATAGCCTTGATCAAAAAGCATGAAATAAGCATTCTCATGTGCTAGAAATGGAACAGAAAAAGAAACAAGAGGGTCTCAAACTGGACCTTTTGGTTCACTTGGTAGAGTGAATGGTTTAAAAAAAAAAATGGACAAAGGGATATGACCTTGATAATTCTATGTGGCAGTTAAAAATCAATAAATTACATCTGAATGTATCTTTTATATTATTTACTTTAGCAGTTCCTTGCCTTCTAGCATAACATAATGTTCCTAGTTTTATGTTGTCATTGTCTCAGCTCTTTCCCTAAGGAGTCCTAATTTCTTTCAGTGGGAGATGCTATTTAGAAATTAAGATCTGGGTGTTTTGGTCATTACTACATTGGTCATTGTGTCTTTTATCTGTTATTAGGCTAAGGCAGTAGAGGGAGGAAGCTTAATAGGCATGGGTAAGATCATATTGATACTTCTAGTTTCAATTCAGTACCTTTTTAAACAGTAACTGGTTTAAAAAGATTCCAGCTGGCTAAATATAAAAGTGAATATTGACAATAATGAATTATAATTATTAATAGAATAGGAATTTGTGAGGGTATGCTAATAATAAGTAAGGAAGGAAAGAGAATCTGCAGAGTAAAATGCAGACCAGTAAGTGTATGTGCCTGTTAGGATGACCATTTTGTAGCCTCCTTAATATTTGATTGAGAGTCATCAATGGAATCTAAAACCAATGGACAAATGTATGTTAGGGAACAGGATCTAAATGAGTTATTAAAGAGCTGGTGAAAACACTTCTTTTGTGTGTGTGTGTGTGTGTGTGTGTGTGGTGCTGGGGATTGAACCCAGGGCCTGTGCATGTGAGGAGGCAAGCACTTTATCAACTGAGCTATATCCCCAGCTCCCGTGAAAACAATTCTTAACAGCTCTTTCCATGCAGTACCTGGAGGTCAGTGAAGTAAAGTACAAGGCACTGCTTCTGACTGAAGAGGAGTAATTAAGTTACCAAATCTCTTTTTCTGCTCATTTTTAAAGATGCCTATTGTGATTTTGATCCAAGTCTTAGATTTAGTATTCTGGGGGAAAGAGATTATAATATAATATAATATAATATAATACAATACAATATAATAATAGGAGTTAGAATATCTGGGTAATCATAAGCAATTTCTAAAAGAAGTGGTTATAGGAATGTCTGCTTACATAGCTGCTGTGCAATCTGAGTGATAAATTATGAGGGGCTTTTTGACCCCAATTGAACCGAAAGCCTATAGCTATGTGTAAGTTCTTACAAGTTTTGGCTTCAAGATAAGATTCAAGGTGATTAGTGAAAAAAAATACCAAAGTATACCTCAGAAAGTTTTATTATTTACTTGTTGGCCTAGTTTATATATATTTTTAAGTTTAATAAATTTATATTTATCTGAACAAGTTTTTGAACACAGACCTTCTAAATTTGAAAAATCGTTTATAGTTCATAAAGCAGCACCAGAGCCCTAGTGCTCAGTGTGTCTGTTCAGTTTCCTGAAAATGCTCACTATATGAGGGCAGCTGGGGATGTTGCTCAGTGGAGCACTCCTAGTGTACCCAGGACCCTGGGTTTGTTCCTTAGCACTATAAAAATAAATAAATAAACAAATAAATAAATAATTTGCATGTGTATTTGCATTTGATTTTAATAGTGAACGTGATGCACTGGAACAGGAAGTATTCGAGTTGAGGAGAAAACATGAGATACTTGAAGCCTCTCACATAACTCAAGCTAAAGAAAGAAATGAATTATCAAAAGAGGTAAGCTTATAAGTAGAATCATTTACATTTTATAGTATAATATTAGTGGAAAATAGCCCAGGGCAAAATTATGGGAGGGACAGTTTTCCTTTTTGATGTAGTTGCCAGGGGGGAAAAAAAAAAAAAGACTTTTAATAGCTTTTTTTGGATAGACAATTTTAAGGTAAGAATTAGTCCTTTTTAAAGGGATAGTTTTTATGTATTGAGAGAAAACATAACGAAAGAATTGAATACAGTCAGCCTGGAAAAATAAGGCTGTATTACTCTGGACATTGTCCCTCTATACTCATAGGTGGCCACCTTACAGCAGACAGTTACTTTACTTCAAAAGGATAAAGAGTATCTCAATCGCCAAAACATGGAGTTGAGTGTGCGCTGTGCCCATGAAGAGGATCGCCTTGAAAGACTTCAGGCTCAACTTGAAGAAACCAAAAAGGCTAGAGAAGAGATGTATGAAAAATATGTAACATCCAGGCAAGAAATACATTCTTTTTAGCAACATCTTTTTCAGTGGGGGGCAACTTCTGGTTTTGAGGAAGATGTGTAATTTTTTTAAAAACCTTTAGGACAATATCAAGATCATGTTTCATTTTATTATATTCTTTTCTCGTTGATTTTTTAAAAAGACATTTTGACTTTCCCCATAAAACAAAAAAATTATTTCTTTTAGATAAAGAAATATATACTAAAACTGTCTTTTTTATGGCATAATCTTTTTGATTCCCTATGTTTCTACAAGTATTTTTTGAAATACAGTGTATCTCTGGCTGTATCGTTTTGAAGAAAATCCAAGTCTGCTCATGATTTCCTGACTGTGAAACATAAAAGAATGAGCAGGCAGTGGTTGCATATTATTTTATATACCAAGCCCTGGAATCAGTCCCCGCATTTTAATCCTGCCTTCTCTCTTCTGATAGATGTGTTTAAGCTACTAGAGATTCTTTATACAAATAGCCCTTATAATTCTTGAGGTTTTTTTTTTTTTAGAAGACAAATCATTTTATTTTTTAAATTAATTTAACTTTATTTTTTACAAAAACGGAGCACAACTTTTTCATTTCTCTTGTTGTACATGATGCAGAGTCACACCATTCATGCAATCATACCCATACAAAGGGGTAATAATGTCCATCTCATTCCACCACATACACACACACACACACACACACACACACACACCCTTTCCCATAATCCAAATTCCTCCATTCTTCCTTCCCACCAGTTGACCCAGCTATCAGTCTTGAGTTATTTTTATCAGCATATCAATCACTAAAACAAAGTTAAAATTTTACCTTTAACAGTTCACATGTTCATAATTTTTTCCTAGCATTAATATTTTTTTCATCACTTTCTGCTGGACATTACTCTGTGTAATGTTTTGAAACATAATGTTTCAAAACCACCGTGTGTATGATTGTCCTACATGGAAGGAAACAATTTATAAAGTCAGAGTTATTTTGATTTTGTGTTTTTGTTAATATTATTTTTGTCTCCATATGTTCCACACTAGATTATTATTTTTAAATGAAGAGTCATTCTGTATGCCTTCAGTTTTCAAACTTCAGCCATGTGCATTAAAAACTACTAGGAAAATATTTTTGAAGACAAGTACGTATCCAACAGGAATTACTAACATCTTATATAGTAATTATAGCTTTGGAGCAGTATGTTGGACAGGTTGTGAGCTTATATGCAAGTAGTTTTGAACAGCATTTTGGGGAATTATAAAACTTTATGTCTAAAATTGTTACATTATCCAAACATGGTATATAGAGCATATACGTATCTTGATTTTTATCAAGAGATTTAAATCTTACATATTGGACAAGACCTTATTTGTTCCATGAAAGAAATTCACAGATACTCCTTTTGACTCCTTGTAGAGACCATTATAAAATAGAATATGAAAATAAACTACAGGATGAACTAGAACAAATCAGATTGAAAACTCATCAGGAAATTGAACAGCTTCGAAATGCCTCTAAGGAAATATATGAACGAGAAAACAGGTAAAAAAAAACAAAACTTGTGTAATATTTTATTTATCTTTGAAGGTTATAGAAGTTATTGAAATTAAATACTATTTGTGAGTTAGCATCTTTTTTAATGCACTTGTCATAAATCTAAATACAATATAATGGGATATTAAAATTCTAAAAATATTTGATAGCTAGCTTAGAATAGACTTTACCAGGCTTTAGACCTTTTCACTCTGATATTAGTATAATCTCTTTTCTTCCCCCCAAGGGTGGGGTTTATTTCAAAATTGTAAAGACGTGTATTTTATTTTTTATACATAATAAGCAATTTTAAGCGGTATAGTAAAATGTTCCACATTTTTTTTTTTAATATTTATTTTTTAGTTTTCGGTGGACACAACAATCTTTATTTTATTTGTATGTGGTGCTGAGGATCGAACCCAGCACCCTGCGCATGCCAGGCAAGCGCGCCACCGCTTGAGCCACATCCCCAGCCCCTGTTCCACATTTTTAAAAATATTTTATTCTTTAGTTATAGTTGAACACAATACCTTTATTTTATTTGTTTATTCTTATGTGGTGCTGAGGATCGAACACAGGTCCTCACATGTGCTAGGTGAGTGCTCTACCACTGAGCCCCAACCCCACCCCCAAATGTTTCACATTTTTAAAGTTAAAAAAAGATATCTAAAAACAGACATTTTTAAAAAGTCAAATATACTTAATGTCTCTCATAGCACAGATTTGTTCCTTAAATACTCACATTTCAAAAACTGGTTTGAAAAGGTTTAAAAAATTAGCTAAACTTATTTATATTGGCAGTGATTAAAATGTCCTTATCTTCAGAAAAACAAGCCAATGACATGCAGTAAATTTAAAGCTACGTGCATTTAGCAGTTTAATCAAGTGTGTGGTTTTACCAGTACCCAGAATGGTACTGGTGCTGCAGTTATCACTTTACTAGGAACAGCTTAATTCTCTAACAGTGGACTATTGACATCCCAACAGTCTTTTCCACAAGTAGTTTATGGTTTTCAGCTTAAGAGAGAAGAGCAGCATTTAAACATCCCTTGCATATGGGGTTTACAAGAACCACGTTATGCAGAATTGTAAGGCCAGTTCCTTCTTATGCCACCAAAGATGGCACACAGGATAAGTACAAAGTACAGAAGCGTAATGACTGTTGCAGGTAGTCTTCTTATTTCAGATATTTTCTTCAGCTGCTTCACAGGTCCATTTAAAAGAGTGTATTGGCTAATGCTGCAAGATTTCCAAGGGTGTAAAACACTGCAAAAAGCTTTGTGCCACCAGGAAGCCACAGCAATCCAGTTCCAAGGATAGAAGAAAGAAAATGCTTCCATGAAGCATATGATAAACCATTTTATTTTAGTGTTGTAACTAAGAGAGGGGGCATAAGGATCTGCACGGGCAGGCCTTGCTCCTCATAGTCGTGGCAGCTCAGGACCTGCTGCAGCTTCTCCATGACCTAGTCTGCAAAGCACGGCACCAGCCACGCCATTATCTCTTTGTACTGGATAACTTGTCTTTTTGCCTTTTCCTCAATTCAGACTGAGGACAGGGATCAAAAAGAAATTACAGCCAGGAACACGCTAATAATCCCAAAGGTTTGGGAAGCTGAGGCAGGAGAATCATGAGTTCAAAGCCAGCAGCAATTTAGTGAGTCCCTTTCTCAAAATATAAAAACAGGCTGGGGTTGTGACTCAGTGGTGAAGCGCCCCTGGGCTCAATCCCTGGAACCAAAAAAAAAAGAAAGAAATTAGGGGGTACTAAGACATATCAGTAGTTCTTATAACATGCCAATAATTTCTCCTAAAAAACTAATTTAACTGCTGGTCCTGAAAAATGTTAGATAACCTTGAAGAAATATTTTTATTTATACACTTAATTTTGGACCAGTGTATATAAGTTTCTCCTAGTTAGTGACTAACAACATTAGGGGAAAATAAATGCTATTTATTCCAGTGGAAGAGGTTTTTTTTTTAATTATTATTCTTTTTAATTATACATACAGTATATTTTGACACATTTATACAAATATAGAGTATATCTAATTCTAATTTGGATCCTAGTTGTGGTTGTACATAATGTGGAGATGTATGATGTATGTATGTATGTATTTATTTATTTATTTTACTCTTTTTCTAAATACATGACAGTAGAATGTATTTGATAGGGTGTATTTATATATGTATGTAGGAAAATTAAGTCAGATTCATTACACTGTCTTTCCTATTCTGTCCCCCCATCCCTTCATTCCCCTTTGTCTAACCCAACGAACTTTTATCCTTCCCCTTCCCATCTCTTGTTGTGTGTTAGCATCCACATATCAGAGAGAACATTCAGCCTTTGCTTTTTGGGATTGGCTTATTTCGCTTAGCCTAGTAGTTTCCATATATTTTCATTAATTAGCAAATGTCATGAGGTTATACTTTTTTATGGCTGAGTAATATTCCATTGTGCATATATACCACATTTTCTTTATTCATTCATTTGTTGAAGGGCACCTAGTTTGGTTCCATGGCTTAGTTATTGTGAATGGAGCTTCTATAAACATTGGTGTGGCTGCATCACTATAGTATGCTGATTTTAAGTCCTTTGGGTATATACCAAGGGATGAGATAACTGTATCAAATGGTAGTTCCATTCTAAGTTTTCTGAGGAATCTGTACTGCTTTCCAGAATGGTTGCATCAATTTGCAGTCCCATCAACAATGTATGAGTGTACCCTTTTCTCCCCATCCTCACCAACATGGTTACTTATATTGTTTATTGTTGCTATTCTGACTGGAGTGAGATGAAATCTCATAATCTAATCATAATCTAGGATTATATTTACAATGAAAATAGCAAAGAATGTTTTACTATAAAAATTATGAATCACCATTTATTACCAGTAATCAGATTAAATATATACTTTGGCTACCAGCAAAGCAGGGACGGGAAAAATGTGTGTGTGTGTATAGCACACAAACACATATTAATTTTTTTAAAGTAATGTTTTTATCTTGTGAAAAATAGGGACACTTCTGGATTTCCTTACACTTAATTTATATTTTAGAATTTGAATTGTTAATTACTAGACGGGGCACTATAATCCTTTGTAAGGCATCTGAAGTTCTGAGCTAACGTTCATATTTTTAATCTTAAGAATATATTTTTCAAAGTAGCTCACTATTTAAATAACATTAGTTTTTTGTTTAGTTATTATGTCATGATCATTTTGTTCTTTTACCTTGCATACATTTGCATATATATGTATAAATAAAATATAATAGATGTTCAGAAAAAAATATTAAGTAAATATTTAATAATTATAAATTAAATCTCTTTACCTACATCCAAATCAGGAAGTAGAAAATGCAGTACCATAGGAATGTTCTTGAGTTCCTTCTTGCTTCACTCCTACCTTCCAAAGAACAAATACATTTCTGACTTTTTTTGTACTACGGATTAAACCCAGGGGTCTTAATCACTGAGCCATATCCCCAACCCTTTTTATATTTTATTTTGAGACAAGGTCTCACTAAGTAGCTTAGGACCTCACTGAGTTACTGAGGCTGGCCTCAAATGTGTGATCCTCCTGCCTCAGCCTCTCAAGTTGCTGGGATTACAGGCATGCACCACCATTTCCAGCTCTATTTTGACTTTTATGCTAATGACTTCCTTGCTTTTCTTTAGACTTTTATCATCTGTGTTACCAGTAAATAAATATTTCTATACAATATCATTTAGTTTTTCACATTATATTAGTATCATATAAATGGAAACATGCTGGCTATATATATTTTTTGTGGCTTATTCACATACCCTTATAATTTTAAGATTCATTTGCTAGTGTACTTAGTTGTCTCTTTGTTCAAAACAAAGCTATGACATTTTAATGCAAGTGCGTGTTTAAGGCAGGAGGATCTTCAAGAGATTGGAGAGAAATGCACACAGATCAATTAAATAATTCCAAAGCAGTTCTTAATATTTTGCAAAAATTTGCTTGATCCCAGCCATATATTAGGAAAGAAGCATCCTATACCTTGTGGTCACTTTCTCTTAGTGTTCAAAACACAGACCAAATGCTTAGCTTTTATGCTAAGCTTTAAAAGAGTTTATGTTTAAACTCTTCATGGAATTGTCAAAGCAACAAATTTGCTTAGTTAGCAAACATTGATTAAGGCCTTCATATGCAGTTACATACTAGATACCATAGGTAAAGTTATAACTTTTGCATTCACAAAGCTAGTAGTCTAATGGAAGATAAATACAGAGAAAAAATTATCATAAAGTGTGATTGCTAATGGAGAGTATGACTGGATACAAAGGTTGATATCCACTGTGCATCTAACCAAGCCTTGGGAGGAAATAAGAAAGACTTCTTAGAGGAAGAAGTATCCATGATGATTCCTGTGTAATGACCAAGAGTAAGACTACAAGTTAGGAAAGGAAAAGGAATGCAAAACCAGCATATATCAAAACCTTGAGGCAAAACAAAATTAAAATTTTTTAACAAGCTGAAAATAATATATTATGGTTTAAGCATAGATTAAAAGGCAAGAAGTTATAAGAGATGAAACAGAAGTGGAAAAACAGACCCAAATAATGCATGTGTAAGACCTGTGACGAAAAATGGGAAGATTTTATTTATTTATTTGTTTGTTTGTTTTATGTGTTGCTGGGGATCGAATCCAGTGCCTCACTGGCAAGCACTCCACCACTGAATCATAACCCCAGCCACAAAGGGAAGATTTTAAGAGAAGGCAAGATATATTCTTGTTTTGTATCAAAAGATCACTGCTATGTGGAGAATTAGATACGAATGACATGAGACTGTAGGTAAAGAGGCTACTTGTAGAAGTTGTTTCTATTATCAGGATGACAGGTGATGATGGAACTGAATTAGTGGTAGCAGAGATGGGCCATATTGGAAAAATGTTTAGGAGATAGACCCAACAAGACTTATAGAATAGGTTGGATTGGGTGGATAAGACATTGTTAAGGGTGCCATGTTTCTGGATTGG